TGTATTCTAACAGTTTAATCAACTGTTTCGCTAATTTAAATACGATATCGTGTATAATTATTATTAGGATACGACTACTGCCACGTATTCTAACCCGATGATCATTCGCAACCACTTCGAGTCCATTCAAGCACACGCACTAGAGGTGAGTTCATAACCCAGTATTTTCCAAGCTTTTTCAATGTTTTTAGGGGGAGAATACAAGTAAAACACAAGTAATCTTGTGTTTAAAAGTATAAATTACTTATTATATTTTTCTTACCGATAACATGCATTTGAACGTGGAAATTTCTAGATACGCCAAACATTATTCAGATAAACTACAAAATATCTTAAGTCGTAACAGTTTTTTACAACAAAAGAAACTATTTTACTAGTTCAGATTTTAACACGGAAACAAACTCAAAAACTATAATAATTATAGTTTATGGAACAAAGGGAACTGTTTTACAGGCCCAGATCATAACATGGAAAAGCAAACTTATAAACTATATTACGTATAGTTTATGGAACAAACAGACTATTTTGCAAAGTTACATTTTATTTACAAAAATGATTTTCTTTGTGCTACACTTAATCGTCGATATAGCTTTGTGAGATAACGTCTTCAAGTACTTATTTAAGTGCCAACAAAAGTCCTGACCTTAATAACCAGAGTCTCCTGGAGGGAGAGCATGAGTTTGTGTATAGATCTATACGGGACTGACAATCCCGCACCTTAAATATTAGCTACAGTTAGGCCGGCAGGCCTGGGGTGACAAATATCATTAACGATTACGATGCCTGAAGAACGTCGTATCAGGCCATCAGTCGTATTAGTATGGTTATGAGGACTCACAATTTGGTATCAGTAGTGCGATTAGTGTACGACCATATATAAACAAACTTCACTTAGTTCTATCAACACAGTTTTATCAAGAAACAAAACAACAAGTATACGAACTTAACGCACATCAATATGCAAACATTTTGGTCTTGGGGTTTAATACTACTTCTCAGATAAACTAAGTATGGTAGTTATACTTGAACCTTTCGGTCTTAGAACGTTTAACATTTCAACTCGGTTTCTATGGAAAATATAAGATTTTCCAGGGTCAACATCATTATTTTACAAGTAAACAGTTTACAATCTAACTTTTTGAAAACACAAGGCTATTACTTATCGATAACAATGAATTACAGTAGAGCGGGTGCAGCTAGGAATCCTATTTACAAAAGATTCAACATTTAATTGCAAGTCATTATACTTATCATTCATCATATCAGAAAATATAGGATTTTCTGGAGGGTAACATTAACATTTTCAAATAACAAAGAACATACTTTCCAAAACAAAATGCTTATGAACTCACCAACTTTAATGTTGACACGTTTTTCAAACCACTTGTATTCTCAGGAAAAATTAGTAGACAAATACCCTCTCGGGCGATTCGAAGACAGAGCATGGTAGCTTTACGTCTTAACTTTTGCGATAGTTCAATGTTAAACAAGTAATATTTTGAACACAATGTAAATACTATGTTTTTATTACAATGGTTGTTGCTTTGATTACTATTATTCAATTGTTGTGATACTATACATGACGTCATCAACCCCGAACGTTTCCGCCGTTCCGGTTTGGGGGTGTGACATCCACCATCAAAACAATGGAAGTGGAATAGTGGGGATCTCTCCTTGACTCCTGTTATATTTCATTTAAAAAACTAAAAATTACAAAAAACAGTTGGCCCATCTTTTAGATATCATACAGAAACTGCAATTACCATAATGTGTGGGTCCTAAATGGTATTACTATTGCATTTTGTTGTTCTGAAGAAGATGATGGATCTAAGCTATCTCTTTGTTTCCTTGCACCAAGATGAAGTTCCTTCTTTTTCAAGCTTTACAAAAACCAAGAAGACAAGCACAAAACCAATGGAACAAGCTCAATCATCAAACATGGGGCTAGGGTTTCGAATTGAGAGGATGGAGGCCAAAGAGAATGACCTAATCCAAGAGTTAATGCTTTTAAATATTGGAGAAACCCTAGGATCTTGGGCTTGGGCTGTAACATCAACCACTTCATGGTCACCATCTCGCCACGCCGTGCTAACCAGCCAGACACGTTATTTATTCAAGTGTTATGGCCACGTTATGTTCAGCAACCTACCGCATCGTGGCATAAGGTTTTTCTCCAAAACCTTATCTTTGACGTCTTTAATTTTTTAACTAAGCAAGTCGGAAAACGGATGTTACATATGTACAATAAGTATACCGTAATTTACGATAGGATTACATTTAGTTGTACATAAAAGTGCATTCCTTAAGGTACACTTTTGATTTAAAAGAAAACAAACATGTAAGAAAAACAAAACAAAACTATTATATGCTTTTACAACTATAGATGCATGAAAATGAATATGTAAAAAATAGGAAATGAATTCTAACAAAAACATAATTTTTAAATATAGGAAAATCTTAAAATGCATGCATAAAAACGAAGATAAAAATCTTTATAAAAAATAATTCTCTAAAGAATACTAATTTTGTAAAAATGATTTGATAAAAAAAAGATGTAAAAAAAAACAATTTTTTGTAAAATATAGAAAATGAATTAAAAAAATATTTATAGGAAACTAATTTTATAAATGATTGTGTATAAAAGAATTTTGTTAGAAGATAATTTTCTAAAAAAAAAACGATGTTTTAAAAAATATCTATAAAGAAAGTTGTAAAAAAAATAAGTATGGACTTGTGATAAAAAGGTAAAAGTCAAAAGTTAGGGGCTATGTGTAAGATAAGTGAAAATGTCGTAATATCGTAATTTAGGAAGGAAGGTGTTAATTTTGGAAAGGGATTAAAAAAAGGGAAAATACCTCAAATAGACAAAAAAAAGGGGGTCATTTTTTAAATTTAGTCATAAAAAACGATTTTTCCAGATATAGACATACATTCCGCGGAGGACCCTCCGCGGACCTCCGCGGAACCATGAAATCTCCACGAAGAGGGGGGTATTTTGGTAATTCCCACCATTTTTTTGACAAAAACGAAGGGGTCCTCTTTTGGTCCCCGTTCCTCTTCGTGACTCCGCATCGGGTCCTCCGGCCTTTGATCGAAGACTCTAAATCCGACGACGACTTCAACTCCGGCGACGACTTCAAATCCGGCGGAATCGAGTCGCAGAGCTCTTTCCGTCACCGATGGACCCCGAATTCCCCGATGTTATGGCCGATGGATACGGTTCCCGGGTATTTCTCACATTCTCATCTAATTATTAATGTCGAAAATGTCGAATATGATTCAAATTAGAGGAAAACCCATTTGATTACATTAAATATGTATATAGATTTAGGATTTTTAAGCAAAAACAAATCACATAACCGTTTTTGGGGATGATCCATTCTGCGGAGAGGGACGTCAGTCCGCAGAGGGTGCCTCCGCGGAGTGATGTGCTTCCTCCGCGGAACGTTATAATCCAACTTTGCAGGCCTCCGCGTAGGCTAGATGTCACTCCGTAGAGAATCCTTCGCGGAATGACCTCTAGCCTCCGCGGAGTGATGGTTTTTCCACAATTTTTATTTTTCTGCTTTTAAGTATGTTGCTATTTATTTCATAATGGAATAATAGTTTTTTTTTTTTTTAATTTCAATTAGTAATGTTTTAAATGAAATAATATTTTTGTTTTTTTTGTTGTGTAGCACGAAGATCTCAATCAAAAAGCGGATTTAACTTTGAAAGGCGTGGTGGGGACTATCATTAAAGACTATTTTCCGCGCCTAACACAATCACAACGAGTATTATTTGAAGCTTCCCCTTTGAAATATTCTTAGGAATGCGTATCCCACATGGTGATCCCTTACTTGTGCATATGATGATGTTGCACGAAGTAAGGTGTCAACAAATATTTGAAATGGGGAGGTTTCTGTTTGATGTAGAGGGGATGCAGTTGGGTTTTGGTGAAACTGAATATATTCTGATTTGTGGTTTAAAAGTTGGTCCTTATGTGGATTTACTCCATGACGAAAAGGGCCAGTCAAATTCAAATCTCCGTGCTCGGTTGTTCCCAGAGATTTCTGATGCACGTTTGCGGCTGAAAGATTTAGAAGACTTAATTATGTCCCCGAATTATTTGGCACTACAAGATGAAGATGTTGTGATGCTTATCAAGCTTGTTTTTATGTTGAAGGGTCTACACGGACAGGACGTTAAAACGGGCATTCCTGCAGCAGTATACAAGCTTGCTGATAATATAGATGATTGGAACAGGTATTACATTTAAAACAGGCATTCCCGCAGTAGTGTGCAATGCACTAATTATAATAAATAAATTGAAAATTGCAGGTTTGCATGGGGTACGTATTTCTGGAAATATACTTCGCGTATGATGCGTGGAATGTTTAAGAAAATAGAAGAGTTTAGAGAATTCAAGCAGGCCAATCCCGAATCGAAGAAAGTACACAAGTATACCGTTCTCGGTTTTATGCTTCCGTTTAAGGTTAGTTTCTAATGCATTTTAATAGTTATCATTGTTTAGTTTTTTATACTATAAAAATTTGAACTTCGTTTTGTATTATATAATAAGTTTGTATCATGACTTTTATAGTATAATAGAACGATACTTACATTTTTTTCATAGATATGAATTTTGGAGACGTTCCCAGAGGCAACCAAGTTTTATATACGCACGCCGACAGAATTGCCACGGATGAGGGCGTGGAGAAGTAAAACACCGTTGAATTGGGTTCAATGTTGTCGAATAATGAACGTGTCTGTGGTATGGTTTTTATATTAACAATCATCTATATTTACAAATTCCAAATTATTTTCATGTTAAACTAACAATCTGATTTTTGCAGCCTAACAACCAACCTATTAATGTCGAGGCAAACCCGGAGGAGCTGATGTTGCCGTTTTATGTTCGTTATGTCAATTGGACTCTTAACCCTGTAGAGTCTCCCCCACGACAACATAGTCTCGTCCGAAATAGTCCACCTCCTGTTGCCTCGCCTGCTCGAAGAAGGATGTACAAGTCCGAAATACAAACATCTTCGACTGAATCTGCCACAAATGCTTCTTCCTCGCAACATCTTGAAACAGAAACAAGTTATATGTCACACGACACATCAAGATTGGTAAAGAAGAAGAAGACGAGCACAAAGGCATTAGTGAAGCGTCTACTAGGCGTTGTGGCTGACTTAAGTTCTAAAGTAGACCGTGTATTACAGAAAAAAGATGAACCCGACACAAATTTTGAACCAGACAGAAGGTTTCGAGAGGAGGAAGATATGATAAATGAAGAGGAGGAATAAAAATATTACCATGATACACATTTTGACTATGATAATATAGGTAGTCATGGTTTGGATGGGGAATTTGAGTCTACACCTACGCATCTTGAGCCGTCATTGGACGTGGGTGAACATCTCACAAAAGAAATGATTCCTATTGTTAGGCCGCAACGAAAGAGGGGTGTTCCATGGTATCAGCGGACTCCGTTCACAGTGGTACAAAACTCATATTTTAAATTTGGTATATTTTTTAAATATTAAAGTATTGATAATTATTTAACATGATAATTTTTTAGATGCAATCCACACCAAAATTGAAGAAAATCACCAAAGCAAAGAAAAAAAAAGTGGTGAAGAGTCCTGAAAAAGCAAATGAAGACATTGTGAATGAAGAGAGTAATGATGTTTCAAATCATCTCCTGCTCGACAGTGTTGAAGCTTCCAGTACGTTGACTTTTTGGAAAGAATGGAATAGTATCTCTTCCAACCTGAACACTAAACATAGGCTGCATATGCTGACACTGGATGCAGAGTTTTGGTTGAGGTTACTTGCAGTTACTGACGTTGGGTGGTTAATTTCTTCGGTAACATTCGTTAAATATAAATTTTAACTTCATTTTAGACGATAATTTATATAAAAAACTGTAACATTTTTATCTTAAAATGTACAGCATATTGCGATATGGAGTACCTTGCTCATGGAAAGACGGCCGGCGAACGCAAGGTGGACGATATTCCCTTAAAAACTTAATTTGCAAAACGGAAAAACATATTTTCTTAGGAATATTGCAAATGGTGTCGGAGGCCATCCTAAATGGAAGGATGTGGATATGGTTAGTTAAGTTTATTAATTATTTATTTTATATAGGAAACGAATTAATGACTATTACATTTGTTTTTGTTTGCAGGTTCTATTCCCCATAAACGTTCCTCATGCCCATTGGTTTTTGGCAGTGCTACATTTAGATATTTGGAAAGTACACATATATGATTCAGCACGATGTATGAATTAATTCACAACGTACTTGACTGGTGGAGAATTCAAAAGTTTTGGGGATAGTATAATCGAAGAGTTAGATGCGATTGACTACTGGAAGGATTTCCCCGATGGACACAATGACAACGCAGTTGTGGAGTTTATTGACATTGTAGACGCGACACAACAAGAAGATATTGCTAATAGAGGGGATTTTGGAGTATTCGTAAGCATGTATATGGAAATGATTGCTTCGGGGGTACCGGTGAAGAGTGATAAGCCATGTAGAGATGCGGGATTTCTCTATAGAAATAGGATGACAAATATTATTTGGGATACTAAATAACTTGATGTTTGGAAGTTTGTATACATTATTATGAAATACTTGTTTTTAGTAGTTTTGTTTAATATAAACAACTTTTGTATCATATATTTTTTGAAACATAATTCACCAACATATATTACGATACATTAAAAACAAAACAAACATTTGAAATTACATAATAACATTACAGAAAACATTGCAAATAAAAGATGAACGACAAACAAACATTACATAGAACATTACGAATAAAAGAGTCGTCTACATGAAAAAGGGTTTATTTCTAACCAGATTGCAAACGTCCGTATACTCGAACTCAGTTTCATCAAACTGGCACAGGTAATATCCGTTCACGTATTCAAGAAGTTCTTCATCATCAACATCAGAGCATCGCATTTTCTCATAATTGTAACATCGATTGTACCATGTGACTTTAGTCTTTATACCCATCCATTTACTAACAATATCGGGTTTTAGTCGTTTTTGTCCTTGTCCCACGTTAAAGTTGAACAAAGCTACTAAGCGGGACCATTCATTACCAAGAAGGCAATTAAGGGGAGCTATTACCGGCAGACCCTCGTAAACGGTAATCCAGCATCGTGTTAAGACCAACACCTCTGTTGTCGTCCATTGAGATGTACCATTAGTTGGAGCAGACGCATTAGACAGATTAGCTGCATTTGAAGACGTTGGTACATTGGATGCCATTTTGTGAAATGATCCCTTACCTCTAATTCGGACGTATAGATACTTGCTTTACTATATATAAAAAGATAGATAACGCCGACTGACAAGTCAGTAATGCGGACTGACAAATACCTATGCGGACTGACAAGTCAGTAACGCAGACCGACGAATAGCTATGCCGACTGACAAGTCAGTAACGCGGACTGAAAAATAGCTATTCGGACTGACAAGTCAGTAACGCGGACTGACAAATAGCTATGCGGACTGACAAGTCAGTAACGCGGATTGACAAATAGCTATGTGGACTGACAAGTCAGTAACGCAGACTGACAAATAGCTATGTGGACTAAAATAGCTATGTGGACTGACAAGTCAGTAACGCGGACTGACGAACAACTCTCTGCGGAGTTGAAAGGTCTATATATTGTCATAGATGATCGTTGGATATTTGCGGACTGTCATGTCTATACAAAACGACAAAAAACTATGTATCACTTCATCTAATCTATTTTAGTTCATGTAGTTTGTATGTTTTACAATGGGTTTAAACCCATGGACCGCTAACGAGTATTTGCTTCTAACTCGTGCATATATTAATGTCTACGAGAACACCAGTTTGGAGGATAGAATATTTTGGGTCCTATTAACGAATACCTTCCACACTGACGCTGAAACCACCATAGAAAACCATCGCGACACGCTTGATATAGCTGCAAAATGGTATGAATTGAAAACAGAAGTTGTGTTATTCAACGATCTTTATAATAAGATTGAAGACGATCGTATGAATGATACTGAGGAAGACATCTTGGAGGCGGCTAAAGAAGAATACAAATCCATTAGCAACGGACGGAGTTTCAAGTATGAAGCCCCTTGGAATTTTTTGAAAAATGTCCCATTTTTTTAACTAGTACTGCGTTTTGTATTGTTCTTGTATTGCTTTATTTATATGTAATATGGTATTTATCCTTTTTTTATGAAAAATAATTCCATTGTTTAAAAACCATACATTCAAACAGGTTACGCGGACTGACAAATAAGTTACGCGTACTGACAAGTCATTTACGCGGACTGACAAGTAAGTTCTGCGGAATAATGTATACTAATTCCTTATAAATTGGACAAGTATTTCCATTTTTACAAGGTGTCGAAAGTTGTGAAAATGAGTTCAGTCAATCAAGTATTAAGAAAAAGTTTCTCCAACCTGCCGACTTTTTTCCATAATCTGCAAAGAACCAATCCTCACACCTACACGTACATTACGAAAGATCAGTACAATCGTTTCCAAATTTGTTTCGTGGCATTGGGATGTGTGGTATGTAATCCCTTATAGTACATAAATATTTAGTTATTTCAAGTTGTTACATGCCTAAACACATGTTGACTTACAGATTCGTACGTTTCTCACGTCTATGATACCAATCATATTCGTTGGTCAAGTACCTCTAATTGGGGCGTATGTAAGATCCATGTACATTGCGGTTTCTTCAGATGGAAATCATGAACCCCTTCTCATAGCGTTTGCTTTGGGAACCATAAACCATGACAATTCATGGTTATGGTTCATGAGGAGGCTTAAAGAATGTTTAGGTGACAATACAAAAGTTGGTTTCATAAGCCATATGTCTGATTCTATAGACTTTGCAGTTCAAAGAGTCTACCCTGATTCATATCATGGCTATTGTTGTAAAAATATAGCCGAGAAAATACGCGCTTCCATCGGAAGCAATACAGTCGTAGAGCAGTTGTTCTGGAAGACTTGTAAAGCGTATAATTTATCTCATTTTTATGCATGTTTGAACAACTTAAAAAATGAGGTTAATGGGAATGATCTTCATTGGCTTGACAATATTCCCATTGCAAAATGGGTACGGGCTTGTTTTCCAAGAGTACGTTTCAATGTTAAATTCATTGACATTCCCGTTGTTGTCAATTGGTTTAAAACAAACACGCATGAGTTTCCAATAACAACAATCATTGAAATGGTCCATGACTCGATGCAAGCAATGTATCTTCAACGTGCTACGTTTGGAGGTAATTATAAGTTATGACGTCACTCAAATGGTGAATTGATATGTTATTATACATTATGACATCATAATTTTTGTTTTTTTGATTCAGTTCATTTCACAGGGGATTTTCATGGTCTTCTAACCCCTTATGCACTTAAGGTGATTCATAAAAGATTTATCCACTCGGATGGTTGTAGGATTACACATATTGTTGGCGACAAATATGAAGTGACTAAATATTCAATAACCGAAACTGTCTAGTTAGACCGTGGTATTTGTAGTTGCGGTAAATGACAAAAATGCGGTATAACTTGTGAGCATGCTATAACTTCATTACAAAGACTCGAAATTGCAGAAATCCAACAAATGGTAAATTTAAAGTTAAGTACAACGGTGTATCGAAATGCTTATCAAACTGAGACAGTCAATCCTATTCCAACCCTTAGGCATTGGGAAATACCAGTTGAAAGTGTTGTGGTCTTACCTCCACGACAATTCAATTGAACTGTATTGTATGGATCACAACGAATATTAATTTGTATTCAGTTCTATGTTAACCGTAGTTGTAATGGTCTGTTGGCGTTCTTTACTTTTAATAAAAAATGTTTACCTTTAATTAAATAATTGTATTCCCATAATTGTAATGTATGGATGACAACGACTAGACAAACAGCTCTGCGGACTGACAAAAAGCTCTGCGGACTGACAACAGCTCTCTGCGGAGTGGAAGGGACTATATATAGTCATGGATGGTCGTTGGATTTTTGGTATAGAGTTATAATTTTTTTTAAATTTAAAATGAGTTCATCTTCAACTTTGTATATTTGCTCGTGCAACGAAGTTGATTGTTTCTATTGTGATCCGATCGACCCTTTTCTTGCCCCATCACCAAATTTAAGAGAGTCGTATATGTCGGAGGATACTTTGCAACAACTACAATGGGCTGAAGAACAACAAAAAAAAGATAAAGACTCATCTCGAGCTCTCACTGAACGTCGTGACCTCATTGCGGCGGAGTGCAAAGAGGTTGAGGAAAGGATGACGATTACTAAAAAAAAATCAAAGATCATGAGGAATGGATAAAAAAAACTAAGAAGAATATCAAACTGTCTGAAAAATGGCTTGCTGACAAGGATGCAGAAATGATAGAACTTGGTAGCCAAAAGGACCGTATGGAAGATAAAATAAGAATTAGGGACGACTACATAACAATGGAGAAAGAAAAGTATCCTTTGCAATTCCCTTAAGTTAATTACTGTTGTTGTACGTTTACTATATGTTTCTGGTTTGTTGAATGTATTATCTTCGAGTATTAGTTATTATTCTACTAGTAATTATGCACTAATATAATCATAATATTACCCATCATCTTTAAAATAAACACACCATTTCAAAGTACACAAATTAATGTCCTCTAAAACAAAACATAATTAATTATAAATACAACATCAATCATTCAAATCAAACGTTGAACAATAGTCTTCTCTCTGCGTCCCACTCGTCCAACGCGTCTCTTGTGTCCCGTGCGTCTCTAGCGTCTCCTGAGTCCCTTCTGTCCCTTCTGTCCCTTTCCCTTTCCCTTTTGTGTTACTACCTGATGACGCACTACTTTTTGTAGACTTTTTTTGTTTATTTGGGACCAATGCCGGACAAGTCGCTGCATTATGTGTTGTACTATCACATCCACTACACCTTCTTACTATAGGTTCCTCACCTTGTGACGGGATACGATTTCTGTTTCTCGGTCTACCAGCTTGACGTGTATCCATTATCGGGGGTTTAACAACCATCATCTCCGCAGGAATTTCCCAATCACACGGTTCTGGAAGGGGGTAAACCGGCTCCTCATACGTACTTCGGTACATTTCCATTTTGTAAGCATCTATAGCCAGATGTCCGAAGTTAGTTTTTTTCAAGTGCTTCAAGACCATTATGACATGACCACAAGGCAACCCAGTTCCTTCCCAATATTTGCATGTACAACTCTCTTGCCTCAGATCAACTATGCCACCATGTTTGAAATCATGAACTTGATATATTGCATCTGAAACACCAGAAACGGACCATCCTGTCGTACGCTCTTCATTTTTACTAACTACTTTTTCAGCCCACTCGGTTAGCACTGTTGAACGTTTACCTGTAAAGAAAATATATATAATTAACTTATTATTCGACCTAATTAAAGTCCAAATTAAATTCATACCTCCTTCGATGCGACGCTTGTTACACCATTCCTGTGAAAGACGACGGAAGAACTCAAGAAGGGGTATTATAGGCATCTTCCTTGCATCTACAGATAAAGCATTCATGGACTCTGCACTGTTC